TTATCATGCTTCACCGTTAGAACGAATAGTTTACAGTTTCCCACTGTCCCTACTTCTTCAACCAGAGACTTTATTGGCCGTTCCTCGCTGTACTAACCCCGGATATGTAGCGCTCCCTAAAAAGGAGAGTAACCGTGAAAGAAGAAGTGTTACAATGGTTTCATAGTTCCAGAATTTTCCGCACTAAGTGCTGTTAAATCACGAATGCAACCGAAAAACTTTGTAACACGACACGAATAAACCTTGATCAGGAGCCCATTACTTCCATGATAGGTAATGGGCTTCTACCTTAATATGGTACTTTTTTCCTCAGCTCTGTAAATGTATTATAGTAAAATACTAAACATTTCACTTAAAGAAATGATCAATGACTGGGGAATATAATTGTTTATCTGAGATTCTTCCTAAGCCGCCTCTCGGTCTTTGCGACTTATGAATCTAAAATTACTTTTCAAATTCTGATTTGAAAAGTTTTGCTCCCATTCATTAAAGTTTAAAATTTAGAACTTGGGTTCAAGTCATAATAGTTTTAAAAATGTGAGATATATATCTTCGCACTCGCGTGGTTTGTATTCAGTAGGAAGACTGGGCGAATATTTCGCGACGGTAGGAAAGTACATGATTCACATTTCAGTAACAACTGTTGTCGATCAGGCGATTTATTCACCTGAAATTGTCATTTGGAAGGCTCTGGTCGCAATCTTCAAACTTCCAACAACAAAAGAGGCCCACTGTCCGATAAAAGAACGAAAAAAAGTAATAAACCAAAATAGCGCGACATCCAAATATCATGCAAATCATGAATAAAAATACTCGAGAAAGGGGAATCCCCTTACTATCGCAAGCATAGCTGCGACCAATCGTAACGCTCACTCCAGACAAAAAGAATCGAATCGCCTTTCCCCTTTATTTGCATTCACTACGTCTTGTAATGGGCCATCATGAGCACAGAGGCCAAAGCGGAGATGTTTCCATCCAAAGATATATGGCTGTGTGCTGTATCCGCTGCCAGGGGTGCTATTATAGTACTCCTGGTGTCCGTGTTACAGCCAAGATGTGGGAATCAAGCGATGAGGACACGCAAAGTCCCACAAGAGCATAACGAAAGAATGGGCTGGTTGAAAACAAATTTTCGATGAGTGAGCAAAAATAATTTTGTTTGTTCTCCAACTTATAATCTCGATTTCCAGAGCATCCCTCATTTCCTGGTGGAAACATTGACCCCATTTCCACTTTGCCTGAATATGTTATGAAAGAGACTAATTAAAAGAAACTTCGTCACTTTTTTGCATTTTTCCCTCTCTCTCTCTTCATTGAGACGTATTAAGATTGCCTGTCGAGCCCAACGGAGGAAGAAACAGCACGGTTAATCTATGGACTGTTTAGTTTTGATTGGCTTATGTAAATGTTTATTCAACCAACTATCGTTTGATTTTTGGAATAGTGTAAACGATGTGTCTTATGAGACTGTAGAGGTAGTGGCGTCACAATTCAATCAAGTTCTTTTGAGTGTTGTCATCAATAAAAAAGAAATGAAAATTGGGTGATCTTTTTCCAGTCGCGTGACTAAAAGGAAGATCTCAGCTGTAAATGTAAATGCTCAATTATTAAGTCAAAAGGTGATTTCAAGCATTCTTTACGCTCGAGAATTTGTTTACGTTCAGCGAGAACCTCCAGATGATTTTAAGGTTACTGATCTTATTTACATCAGAAATGAATAAATTCACAATACATTCTGCTTGCGATTTTGAACCATTTCCACATCTCCTCGATCATAATTGAAAACAAACTATCAGACTACTCAATGATCACGGTTTTTGTTTCAAGAACAAATTGTCTCTCAAGATCGAGTGAACGTGTTGTATTATTAAGTAATAGAGGGTGGTTGGGAATTTAGCCAAGGTAGCTCTCATGCCAATTGAAATGGTCTGCAGGAAACGTCTCAGTTAGCTGACACTGTGACACTGTGGCCCGGAAGTTAGAATCAGCCAATTGCAGACCATCACTGAGATACTCAAAACAAATAGCGCGTGTCGAAAAAAAGCTTGTATGATACGGAGGTGAAAGGATGTGTGTGTATCAAAATGTTTGGATGTACGTATTATCCGCTGCTATTGGCGGCATAATATCATTTCTGCTGTTAAAATTTTGGAATTGGCTGCAGAATGAAGCGACGAGGAACCTTAAGATACCAGTAGAACATGACGAAAGATGGGGATAGGAGATGATGCCTACTTTATATTCAGGTGAGTGGAAAGCGCTTGGAAGAGACGAAACGGAAGAAAGAAAAATTGATAAATTGCCGAATTCTAGTGTATGACTAAACTACCATGGTGCACACTGTCCTGAACCTCCTGATCTCAATCATATAGAAGTTTTGTCGACTAGTTAGTAATTTCGCGGACCAAACTTTTGCGGCGCGGGGACGCGTGGGTTTAAGAGTGATTCCTCAAGATGTGGTTATTGCTTCAAGGCCCCGGAAAAAAAACCATTCGTCTCTTAAGATGTTCCACAGTTTCCTGATTATGAGATACCTATTTTTTACTATTCACTAAATCAACAAAAAAATTTTGGGGAAACGAGTTTTCATCATGCAATGATTGGTTACGCCATGAATTGATGAGTTAGTTGGGATTAAAATCATCTCCAGTTGGGTTCAGACAGGACAGCTTAGTTTTATCCATGTTTTGATTAGTTACGCTGTTAAAAGAGACTTACGGAAACTTTTGTTTACAGGAATTTACGATTCGATGATGGACCTACAACAGAAGAACGGACAGAACTTTTGATGGCTGAATTGTCTTATTACGCACTCTGTTTGACAGGACAGTAGATATTCTCAGTTGAAATAGCGTAAACAATGTTTCTCATTAATTATAAGCTGTAGCGTCGTGAAAGCAAATACATGTACAAAGAAAACAACAGAGCAAGCATAAAATTCTTCTCGTCTTTTTCAGTCATTCTTTCCTTCGATGAAAATTATTTTCATAAATTTTTTATTGCAGTTTACACCGCCGATTTTCGTTTTATGGGGGGATTAGGGAAGTTTTGCATCATGATACTAACAAAATCCGCCCAGGTGCCCCCTTCAGGATATAAATAACACCCCCAGTTTGTCTGTGACAGACGACGATAGACAACCGTTAGTTACGATTTTAATAGGGCGCTGTTAATGAAGTTGGTGGAATCCTCGCTTCCCTTGTTCCAGCGGTTATAGGTCGCGAGAAAAAAGGAAATTATAACCAAGTAAAGAGGCTCTTGATTGCTAAACAAATTCTCCTTGTCAGCAACCTAGGAAAGTTGTAGAGACCTGTATAGAGAATATGAATACTGATGCTAGGAAGTGAAGGGTTAAAATAGATACCAAGGTGTGTTGACGTGTACAAGTAATTTTCGTCCAATTGGCGTGACCTTCAGTATTTGAAAATTATGATACGGGAAATCTGGGCAGTCCTTCAAAAACGAAGTTGTCGTGTCGCTGTAAAAATGGTTTTGGATTTCTCTTCATGGAAAGTGATCTCATTGCCATATTCCCGCCCAGAGCACGTCCAGGCTTTGAAAGTGATCTGCCTTTTTGTTTCCTTAATCGGCTCACTGATGTAGCTAAGAACGGGTTACTTTCAGAATGGATGAGGCAGCATTTGACGAATGTTCAAAATTTTGGTGTTGTTGATGTTCTTGTTTCATTCAGTTTTTTTTTGGGTTTTTTTATCCTTGTTCTTTCGTTTTCTTAGTTCAACCTTGATATGTTTAACTCGTTATGCTCTGCCTCACGGTTTAAGAGCGACGGTCAGGAAATATCGACCATTGAGTGGCAAGAGTTGAAAAATGAATTTCGCTTATTTTCTGACTATAAAAAGCTACTAAGAATAGAAGAAATTTAATGTATTTCTTTTTCTTCCGGAGCGCTTTAATTCTGAGAAAACTGAGAAAAACGAATTTGACCCGCGACGATCCCGAAAGGTCCCGCAAGCAAATGTGAAATTGATATTTTAAACTGACTTTTGGTCTTCAAGGAAAAACGATTCAAAGGATCATGACACCGAATTTTGATAGAGTGAGTGCCGTACTTTCCCAGAAACTATATGACTTATCTTTATTGTTGTTTATAAATAGCAAACAACGCGCAGGAAAGTGCTGTATTTTCAAACGTGAAAAATCCCGCAAATACCTCCTTAATTCAAATGTTTTTTTCACTATGTGGTATAATTCAGATTTTCCTTTTAACTATGTCATTAGAGGGATTTAAGGTTGTCCTCTATTATATGTTAGAATCAGCACGGGTTTCCCTTACAGCGCCTCACGCGAAGGTTTTGAAATGACAGTAATTCATTCAAATTTTTTACAACGACCGAGTAAACAATTCTTGTTGCGTGACCGTAACGTCAAGCGGAGTTTTTACACAGCAGGCCGGAATATACACGAAAGCGTACTGAAAACGATTCTGGTGTGAGCTTTTCGTCCTTTTTTATTGAAAAAAAGGCAATCGGCCAAAGAGGGGTTATTTTTTATCATTGTTAAGGTGAGAGTTTTCCTTTTCAGTGTAAGATGTTTTCCCTGATAATTATCAGGATGTAATTTGATTAGCTCTCGGCTAACCTGTTTAACTTTTATACTTGTTTTTTTCGCTTCCTTTGGTTTCAGAAGAATCGGAACAGAAAGAAAAAAAATCATAGATGCTTTTTAAATTGATATTTTCTTCAATTGTGAGGATTCATTTTTATTATTTGTTGAAGAAATGACAGAGTTGGCTAAAGCTCGAAGCAGTTTACTAGCCGTGGTAAATTGAATTAGTCAATTAAATGCAAAGAGGAAAACATTTAATTAGCGAAGTTGGAGTGAATTTATTTTGCCAGTTTTGTGTCATCATGGACGTTAAGTACTCTTTTAGCTCCTTATTCGGCGGTTCTTGCTCTTATGACCCCAGAGATAGGAGCAGATCAACTGAGCTTCTTCCATTTCTGAACTGCAAAAGAGACATCGCGGGTCATAAGTCTTCCATGTCAATAACTGACGTAGAAACTGAAATCGTACTTATTTTGGGAAGAGTATCTACATCCTTTTCTTCGGAGTTAGACCTTTCGGAATTAACAATTTGTCCCCGGCACTGCTCATCCCTTGGTATTGGGTGGCGTCGAGGATCGAATCTGTGCCGAGTTCCTCCGCCAATCTCGAAGCACGGCGGACAAGCCCAAAAAAACGCAAAGGCAGAAAGAGGACTTGGAAAAAGTGCTTGTTATTTGATATGGAAGAAACTGGGAATTTTTATTCCAGTTGGTTCAGGTATGTATACATCATTTTTCATCTTTTTCAACCAAACAGACCAGCTCTAAAATGGCGGTCCAATCTGACACTTCAATTAAAGCAGTTTGTAAGCACTTTTCTTTTTTTTTTCATTTTGACTTTTTCAATAATTAAGTAGCCGTGACGGTCGCAAATTCAATAGCCTTTGTTTATTTACGTGTTTCTTTTCCTTTCATTATTCTAACATTTTATATTAGTGATTGTAGCAGCAAAAAGGTAAATTTAGAAGCCTTCACCGGACTCCTAAAATTACAGCTTTTTAAAGCAGATTCCCTGATGGTCTATAGATAGTTACAGGGAGACTCAGCCCCTAAAAGGGTACCTTTATCAGGCTTCAGGTATATCAAAGGGTAGGGAATTGAAGAGTTGAAGTATATGAAAGGGCAGGAAAATCTATCATTTAAGTTTTTTAAAACAGGTTCCCTTACTTGTGTAAATTAAGACCGTAGTTGTTCAGAATAGTGATTATATCGTATCAGCAAAAACCTGTATTTTCCATCGATTCACTCAACAGGTATTTGTCGCAACTGCCGGGTTAATCTTGACATGCAGAAAATAGGGGAGCTGCCCACAAAGCTTCCGGAGACCAAGAACCTTTCTTACGAGGAAACTGAGACCATTGAGACTTCTGTAAGTTCTGAACTGGCACTCAATGGAAATAGTGTTATTAACAGTGGCACCAAACAAGGCCCGCGGGGCAAAAAAGATAAAAAAAAAAAAATGGATAGGGACCTTATCATCACAAAGTCTGCATGAGCAGGCCCCGTTTCCTTGCTGCCTTTCCTTAAAATGAACGAATAAGGATAGAGAGCACAAATTAACCGATTTCGTAGACCTCAAACTGTGTGCTGGTATCCAAGAAAACAATGCCATATGCTTATTTTGTGCTTTCTACGTCAGTTTTTCCTGAGTTCCGCAGATAATGAAGAGGTTTAATACCCCATGCATTTTATGTCGCCCTTGCGTCTGCACACAGTTTAAATTTATTCAGCGGATTTTCTATTTTTATTCTCACCAAAATCTGAGAACTTGAAGCAGTGGCAACAAGTTAAAGACCACGTTTTGCTTCCACTTGCCCCCACCTACACACACGCATCCCCCTACTTTATACCGCCTGGGATACGGGTTCATGTGATTTTCTCAAGGTTTAGGATACGGTGAATAACGCCCAGAAAAACGCTTCGGGTTTCCAATATACCACTCCGGGTTCCTTTACTACTCGCTTTAAATTTCGTACTTATTTGTCATAATGAAAGGTATTTTATGTAATAAATTAGGCACTTTTTATCATAAATGAAGGCAGCAAAAAAGGTCTTATTTTTAGTCCATAATAAAGGCAACAAAGATCAGGAGGGATTATTGATCTTTGTCTAAGTGTTGGTTAACTTTGATAATTATGTACCCAATTAATTTTTTTCAATACAGTGTACGTTATATTTATTTTGCGTCCTTGTCTAGGGCGTGATGTGTAACCTTCCAATTGCTGCAAGTACTCCTTGTTCGGTGGTAGCACATGACTTACTGGAGCAAGAAACGTCATTATATTTACCATCAACCCTCCTAGAAGAAATCGAGACAAGCACTACAGGAATGAAGTCGGAAGAACCTATTGACCACCTTAACAGTTTCTTAAGAAGTCGAGACGTTAGTCCTATTAGGTACACCCTAAAGACACCTTGGAACGATGCCAGTGGAAGGACTAGACGACTGCATGAGCGCAAAGCCAAGCAAGCGGTTTCAGCTGTTCTTGGTGAAATAGCGCCTAATGATCCAGATCTTCTCTGGGAATCTATTATGTCCTCAAAACAAAATGAAACTGGAAATCACAAACTGCTACAAAAATGCAAACGAGAGGGATTCTCGCAGGCAGATATTGTCCATTATGGCGGATAAGGTTAGCTTGGCAACAATTCAACAGTGAATCCCAGGCCTGACAAGTTATCGGTTTAAGGTCTCTAAGCAGCATGCTGCAGTCCATGGCAGTGGAAAACTGGTGCCTACCAATGCACAAACGAAGTCATTCATACCTGAAGCAAAATTAGCGCATTTCCTAGACTTTATCACAAGCTCCCATGTAATTCAAGATCTTCCATTCGGAGCCAAGACAATAACATTGTCAACTAACGAGGTATCCAAGTTCCAAATGTGGTACGGAACATGATACCTGAACGAATCGTTTGCCAGTACCAAAAATATTCTGCCGAGCATGATTTCACACCCATGAGTCGCAGTACACTGCTAAGAATTCTGCATGTTTGTTCCGCTACGACTCGCAAGTCATTGCAAGGGTTAGATTACGTAAGCTGTTCTGGTGCGCAGGCATTTGAAGATCTTACGAACGTTGTGCACCAGCTCGGGGAAAACGGAATGGGTCTTACATGGGCAAAAACACAAAAGGAAGCTTTAAAGGAGGCAAAGCGGTACCTCACGACTGATTTCAGGGTAAAATAAAAAAGTGAAAAAGGGAAATAATTTTGTTGCGCGCCTGGCGTAGGCGTATTATGAATGTTACTCGACTGCCTACTTCATGAGTGCTCTCTTATTGGTTACTGCTCGCGTCTAGGTAGGTGAATAAGGGTGGATTCCCACTGTCGCGTAAATTTCACGTGCATACACACGTAGCTTTTAGGCGCGTAATTTAAATAGAGGCAATGTTTGAAAGGTCATACGTAAACGTAAAAGTTGAGCGAGGTTTAGCTTTTATGTTTACTCGTGGCATTCCATACGTTCTTCTATTTTATTCACACCCTTAACCCTATTTAGACCGGGAAGGGTTTGAAGCCCCCCTTTGCTTAAAAGTTGAATAACTTCAAAACCGCTCAAGCTTTGAGCACCAAACCTAGCGACTTTTCCTAAAAATCATCTGAGGACATTTAGACCGGGAAGGGTTTGAAGCCCCCCTTTGCTTAAAAGTTGAATAACTTCAAAACCGCTCAAGCTTTGAGCACCAAACCTAGCGACTTTTCCTAAAAATCATCTGAGGACATTTTAAAGTCGTCGTGACTTGTACGTCAGCATTGATGTTACCATGGCAACCGAGTTTTGAGAGCCATATTTTCCAAAACTTGCTGTTTTACTCATTCAATTATACCTTACACTGTTCTCATACGCCGTCAAGAAATGCAGTGTTAATATTGTGATTCCGTGACTGGTCGACTCCCCAATATCACGTTTAGTCACGAAACAATTCGTCACGCGGAGTCTTCGGTCGATAGAGTTTAGTGTTTCAAAATGGCTAAAATTCACCCAGTTTGGCTTTTCTATCTCACTCTTTAAGTAAAAACGCAACTTTGCAACTGTAAAACCTACAAGGATTAAGAAAAATGAGTATCTGGGGATCAAATATCCACTTTCATGGATTTCGAAACTGGAAGTGTTTACACAATTACCGCCAACCCACCATGAAAATTCCTTAACTTCGATATCGCCTTATAGAGATTTCATTCAATAACCCAAGCTAATTCCCAGGTATGTTTTAGATGTATGTCTAAATGTGGGATTTAAATAGAATGAAGTCGATTTGGAGTTATACCACATGTGCAATATTGTCGTCGAAAATCAATAACAAAACGGAGTTTTTGTTATCCATAAAACCTATTCCTCATTTTTGAATAATTTCTGCTCGGTGAGTGTCGCTTTTGCTCTAAAAGAAGCTTCTAGTAAAAGTAGAACAGTGATTCTGTTGAAATAAAGTGTCCGAATTTCTCCGTGCCACTTTGTTTGCGAACGAGAGGCAAGTTGATGTATGCAAATTTCACGTAAATGATTAGCCAATTTTGTGACTCCGACCACAAAAACCGATATTCTAATTTTTTTTAAAAATAAAAAGCTTTCGGCGGGAACAATCCACATCAGGTATCTTATCCACCTAAAAGCTATTTATGGACAAAAAACGAAAGAAAGCGATTTTTCAACTCTTGCCACGAAATTAATATTTAGGTCGATATTTCCTGACCATCGCTCTTAAATATGATCTGATTAAAAAAAAGAAGGAAAATTACAGATTCGCTGAAAAGAAGCGACAGTAGAATCCCCCGACTGACGCTTTCTTATCTTCACTCAAACTTGTGTTTTTATGCAAGTAACCACAAGATAAGACAGCCTCTATGCCTTGAGGTCGGAACAGTTAATACGATTTAACTTAACTTAACTAGAGACTACAAACCTCTTCCACGAATGCAGCCTGAGCCATATTCATTGTGATCGAGTCACGGTGTTCTATGGCAGATAAAGACGACATAACTTAAGGCTACAAACTTCTGGCTTTTAATACAAAGTCTTAAAAACGACTTTTTTTTGTTTGGGAAAGTTTTAAATTCTAACCCCTTTTTTCCTCAAATTCTGCTTGAAGGCACTTAGTGAAAGTTAAGATTGGGTGATGTGACGTGACATTCAAAAGAGCACTGATGTCATCATTATGCAAATATAGTGGCGGGGAATCCCCAAACCTGCCACCCGCTGTTGAAGAAACGGTTTCATTCAAGTTCTGTTTCGTTAGGCTGATTACTTTTATATTGTTGGGAAACGTTTTCCAATCACGATTATAACTAAAAGACTTGATTTCACCGGTATACCAGCAGATAAGTTTCAGAAAAACGTATGCTTCGTATTTTTGAGAGTAATTCTGAGTTGCTGTCTCATGGAAGACGTCTGATTGAAAATTGAGTTAAGTTAAATTTTAAATTTTTTTCTGCTAACCAAAACAACCTTTCCAGAGTTTATGTCATCAGGCGGGCTGCAGTGGCTTTTAAAAGTTACGGTTGGCAGAGGTTTAATTTGCATTAAAACTCGCTAAGGTAACTGTCGTACCGACTAAACATACCGTTAAAGAATTACAGAGAAAAAATGGATAATATTTGTTTTGTTATGACTATCGTGCTTCATTGGCCACTTACTTTGCTTCAATGATTGTCATTTGGTTCATGATTTCTATTGTTTGATTTGACGCGCGGCTGCCCTGATTAAAATGCACATCCCAGATGCAAGAGACACGCGAATCCCAGTAATTTCTCATCCCTGTAGACCCTCGTAATACCGCCAGTGTTTGTGTTTGAGATTACGATTTGCCCTTTAGTCTGATGATAGCTTATTTGTCGAAGTCGTCTCTTAATATCGAGCGAACGTGTTGTATTTAAGTAATAGAGAACGGTTGGGAAGTTTCGCCTAATGCTGAATTTAGCGGTAATTCGTGTAGTAGTCCTACGCAAGGTGGGAGTACACGGTGCACTTTGGCCCGGAAGTTGGAATCAGCCAATTGCAGACCGTCAATATACGGACATAAATAGCGCTCAGCAACAGGAGCTTAAAGTTACCACTTTAAGTTACCACCAAGAAGATGTGTGTGTCTAAGGATATTTGGATGTGTTTATTATCCGCTGCTATCGGCGGCATAATATCATTTCTGGTGTTAAAATTTTGGAATTCGCCTCAGACTAAAGCGAAGAGGAGGCCCAAGATACCAGTGGAACATGATGAAAGAGAGCGATAGGACACGATGTTTGCTTACTTTATATTCAGGTGAGTGGAAGCGCTTAGTAGAGACGAAAGGGAAGAAAAAAATTGAAAAAATGTCGAATTCTAGTGTGTGACTAAACTACCATGGTGCACACTGTCCTGAACATCCTGATCTCAATCATATAGAAGTTTTGTCGACTAGTTAGTAATTTCGCTGGCCAAACTTTTGCGGCGCGGGGACGTGTAGAGTTAGATGTGATTCCTTACAAAGTGAATATTGTTTCAAAGCCCCGGATTCAAAACCATCCGTCTCTTAACATGTTCCACAGTTTCCTGATCATGAGATACCTTGTTTTGAAAATATATTCACTAAATCAACAAAAAAGTTTTTGAAAACGAGTTACGCAAATTCTGAATCATGTCTCATTATTAAAACGAATTATGCATGAGGTCGTAAAGAGACGTTCAAACTATGTCTTACTAAATTTTAATCATGCATTGAATAGTTACACCATGTATTGAGTTAACTTTTGTTTGTACAATTTGAACTCACTACTCGTTCTTAACAATAAATACGCATTAAAAACGATTACGAAAGCAGCTTCAGTCGCAGCCGTATCACGTGAAGTAACAGAACATTCCTGAATATTAATTAAGGAAGTTAAATTCCTTTCGAAACCTCATTACCTTACAGGCTTGCCCCTAAAAAAACATTAGGTTTAAAAGTCCATAGGTTCACAAGAATCTAGTTTTTCGAATAAATTATTATTGTTGCTGCTTTTTGAGGCCGTCATTCGGGAATATATTTATCGTTAATAAATAGCATTTTTGATTTTTGCAAAAAAAATATAGCTACTTTCGCTATTAGACTGATAAAGCACTTTAGTTCGACTGGGAAGCATGTCTTTATACCTTCGGATAAAATGTGGCAAATACGCCATTTTCAATATATTAAAATTCAAACTTGGCTCCGAGGCTTGGGGGATAAACAAAAGAAATTAAATCGTGAAAAAACAAACGAGACTACGGAGCTACTATTTATAATAGTAGAGCAGCGCGGCTTTTATACTACAGGTTGCGACGAGCATATAGCTACGTTCGCTATTAGACTGATAAAGCACTTTAGTTCGACTGGGAAGCATGTCTTTATACCTTCGGACGAATGTGGCAAATAGGCCATTTTCGATATGTTAAAATTCAAACTTGGTTCAGAGGCTTGGGGAATAAACAAAAGAAATCACATCGTAAAAAAACAAACGGGACAAAAGGCTATTATTTATAATCGCTGTCACTCACTAATGGCAAATAAATACTGTAAGCACAAGGTAGGGAGCCACTTGCGGTGGCTCTTGTCGATTGTGTTTCACTGGCAAAGCTCGAGGTGCGATTTGTCTAGAACTAAACGAGTTGGGAGAAATGCGGTATTCCTCTCCGATCAA